GGAAGAGCTGTTTCAAGGCTGTGAGACTACAAAGGCTTAGAATACGAGAATTTGGAGGTGGTGGATTTTCGGCTTTTGGGGCAAGTCCGAGGTTTGGGGTTAAAGTCCAGTGAAAGAAGGCTCCGACGAAAGATAAACCCCATGCTCGACATTTAAGCATGAAAACCCTACCCCACAAAACCCTAACCCTAAGACCCTCAACCACGTCTAAATAAACTCCAAAGCCCAAACTTCCGAACCCTTTAACTCTTGAACCTTTTGAACTCCGAAGCCTCCCTCAAAAGGTTGTGTAGTTTCCCTATAATTATGCCCCAAACCCCAAACCCTAAACCTGGTAAAACCCCAAACCCTAAACCCTAAACCCCAAACCCTAAACCATCCGAAACCCTAAACCATCCGAAACCCTAAACCATCCGAAACCCTACACCCTCTGGGTTCCCCGCTGCTTCCGGACCTCAGAGCTGGAACTTCGCTATAACACGCTGAAGGGCTTCAGGCATGAAGGGTTTAGGGCTTTTAGGGCTAAGAGTTCAGGGTTTAGGGTTTAGGTAGGTAGGTAGGTAGGGTTCGACCTGCAGCAGTAGCCGCGGCCTCCACCACTCTTCCCCGCCCAGCATCTCGGGGGGCCTCCGCAAGAGTCATCGGCCCCCTCCGCGGGAGGTTCCAGAGGGGGCTTGAACTAGAGTCTGGACTATAAGTGGAAACGAAGGCCGAGACCGGCACGGACTGGTCCCGAAAGAAATGGGGAGCCTGAAACCCGCCGGAAGTGGCCCAAGTCTGGGTTATCAGCCCGGAAAGGGGGGTTTGGGCCAGAAGAGGGGGGGGGCGACGCAAAGTGGGTAACTGGAGAAGGGGAAGGACGATGCACTCGCGGACGCGTAGAGGCGGGGGGCCCAGCTGAGCCGGACTCGAAACCGAGGCCTGGCATGTAATGGTAAGAATCGGGGTAGCGGCTACGGCTTCACGAGAAACGTACATTCTCGGAGCGAGACTATACGGCCTTGCGAGAAGCGGTGTCTGGAACGACGTGAGGAGCGATGCGTACTGCGACAGAAAGAAGCGGAGCTACTGCCGTGCGCGGGTCGTTTACCCAGGTCCCCGATCTGGGAGCTAGAAGCGGGTCTGGAACGACTTGGGGAGCGCTGTGTGGTGGACGCGATGGAAGAAGCGGAGCTACGGCCGGGATTTAACAAACCGGGAGAGAAGGGGGGACTGGGACGACATGAGGGGCGCTGCTTGGTGGACGAAATGGAAAGAGGCGGAACTACGGCCTTACACGGGTCGTTTACCAAGACCCGTCACCTCGGGGTGGGAAGGGGGGTCTGGAACGACAGGTGGCCGAAATGGAATGAAGTGGAGCTACGGCCTGACGCAGGTCGTTTACCAAGACTAAGTGACTAAGACCCGCCACCTCGGGGTGGGAAGGGGGGTCTGGGACGACATGAGGGGCGCTGCTTGGTGGACGAAATGGATTGAGGCGGAACTACGGCCTTACACGGGTCGTTTACCAAGACCCGCCACCTCGGGGTGGGAAGGGGGGTCTGGAACGACAGGTGGCCGAAATGGAATGAAGTGGAGCTACGGCCTGACGCAGGTCGTTTACCAAGACTAAGACCCGCCACCTCGGGGTGGGAAGGGGGGTCTGGGACGACATGAGGAGCTGCGTGGTGGACTAAATGGGAAGAAGCGGAACTACAGCCTTATGCGGGTCGTTTACCAAGACCCGCCACCTCGGGGTGGGAAGGGGGGTATGGAGCGACATGAGGACCTGCGTGGTGGCCGAAATTGAAAGAAGCGGAACTACGGCCATACGCGGGTCGTTTACCAAGACCCGCCACCTCGGGGTGGGAAGGGGCGTCTGGAACGACATGATGAGCTGCGTGGTGGACGAAATAAAAAGAAGCGGAGCTACCACCTGACGAGGGTCGTTTTCCAAAACCTGCCACTTCGGGGTGGGAAGGGGGGTCTGGAACGACATGAGGACCTGCGTGGTGGACGAAATTGAAAGAAGCGGAACTACGGCCATACGCAGGTCGTTTACCAAGACCCGCCACCTCGTGGGTGGGAAGGGGGGTCTGGAACGACATGAGGAGCTGCGTGGTGGACGAAATGAAAAAAGAAGCGGGGCTACGGCCTTACGCGGGTCGTTTACCAAGACCCGCCACGAACGACACGAGGAGCTGCATGGTGGACAATTTGTGGCAACAAGCCGAACTACGGCCTTACGCGGGTCGTTTACCAAGACCCGCCACCTCGGGGTGGGAAGGGGGGTCTGGAACGACATGAGGACCTGCGTGGTGGACGAAATGGAAAGAAGCGGAGCTACGGCCTAACGAGGGTCGTCTACCAAGACCCGCCACCTCGGGGTGGGAAGGGAGGTCTGGAACGACATGAGGAGCTGCGTGGAAAGAAGCGGAGCTACGGCCTTATACGCGGGCCGTTTACCAAGACCGGCCACCTCGGGGTGAGAAGAGGGGTCTGGAACGACATGAAGAGCTGCGTGGTGGAGGAAACGGAAAGAAGCGGAGCTACGGCCATACGCGGGTCGTTTACCAAGACCCGCCACCTCGTGGGGTGGGAAGGTGGGTCTGGAACGACAAGAGGAGCTGCGTGTTGGACGAGATGGAAAGAAGCGGAGCTACGGCCTGACGAGGGTCGTTTACCAAGACCTGCCACCTCGGGGTGGGAAGGGGGGCCTGGAACGACGTAGGAGCTGCGTGGTGGACGAAATGGAAAGAAGCAGAACTACGGCCATACGCGGGTCGTTTACCAAGACCCGCCACCTCGGGGTGGGAAGGGGCGTCTGGAACGACATGAGGAGCTGCGTGGTGGACGAAATGGAATGAAGCGGAACGACGTCCATACGCAGGTCGTTTACCCAGATCCCCGATGTCGAAGCGAGCAGGGTCTGGAACGACAGGGGGAGTCCTTCACTATCCGCTCTCAAAGAGCGCTAACACACGTCGAGGAAGAGGAGACAACGCTAGGAAACCTACAGAAGTCGGTTACCCAGAACCCTGTGTGTGACTGGAGGGGGTGACTTGGTAGGCACGCGTCGAGGAGGTGCCGAACCTAAGGGGCCTGTTACTAAAGAATCGGATGCCCAGACTCCCAGGAACGGCGAGAGGGGCCGACTGGGATGACACAGAATTCTACTCGAGGGAGTGGATGCGAAGGTGAGATAACGCAAACACTCGTCGAGGAAGTGGAGGCGAACCTAAGTAACCTGCAGAGGTCGGTTGACCAGACCCCCGTGAGTCGGCGCGAGGGGGAGTGGGCTGCGCATGAGCATGTCAGGGAGCAGCGGTGA